ATTATTTATTTGCAGAGCAGACTGTTTTGAGTTTAACTTTATTGCAGACTCTCATCTTGAACAAGCATGAAGGTGACAGTGTAAAGTAAAAACTCCCTCTTGAGGAAGAAACCTTTAACAAAACCAGGCTCAGGCCAGCCGGCTTTCTGCCTCGGCTGGCTTGGTTTGGTAGGAACAGATACACAATGGCAGGTCAAGAATCACATGTTAAGATAGAAATAGTATCAAATGAAAACTATTTAATTTTGATCATTCATTTTAAGAAATGAGGTCAATTTGTCCTATAGTAGTCTAATCTTGACAACATAACAAGCCAACCCTAACTATAGGATTTATCAAAAAGGAAAGTCTTAATCCCAGTCTTAAAACTGGACAATGTGTCAGCCTCATGGACAGAAACTGGAAGTTGGTTCCACAAGAGAGGAGCCTGATAACTCAGAGATCTTCCTCCCATTCTGCTTCTTGAAACTCTAGGAACCACAAGTAAACCTGCAGTCTGAGAGCAAATTGCTCTGTTAGGAAAATATGGAACAATAAGGTCTGTAATATAAGATGGAGCTAGGTTGTTGAGAGCTTTGTAGGTTAGAAGTAGGATTTTGAATTCTATTCTGGATTTGACAGGGAGCCAATGGAGAGAAGCTAAAACTGGAGAGATATGATCTCACCTACTAACTCCAGTTAAGACTTTTTAAAGAAGTATTTGGACACGCAGATAATAAACCATTGCAATAGTTCAGTCTAGACGTGACAAATGCATGAACCAGTTTTTCTTCATCATTTCTAGATAAGATGTTTCTAATTTAGTGATATTACGCAGGTGGAAGAAGGCAATTCTAGTAACGTTTTTAATGTGGGGGATAAAAGACATGTCCTGATCAAAAATAACACCAAGATTTTTAACATTAGAGCTGGAGGACAGATTAATGCAATCCAAGGAGGATGAAACACTGAAAAATGTATTCCTAAGGTGCTCAGGTCCAAAAACTAGAACCTCAGTCTTCTCTGAGTTTAAAAGCAGAAAATTAAGGGTCATCCAGGTTTTTATGTCTTTAAGACATGCTTGTAGTCTAAGTAGCTGATTGAATTTATTGAGTTTCATGGACAAAGATAACTGAGTATCATCAGCATAACAATGAAAATTTATCCCATGCTGTTTATTACTTTACTTTTTTACTTTTTATTACTTTTACTTTTATTTACTTTATACCTAATAGAAGCAAATACAAGTATTGCACATCACCCTACTTCTTTGACACTCGCCATGCAAGGTGGTGTGCTGTATACACTTCTTTAAGAAAGAATGGTACTGAGTTTCAATGTTTTAGCTTCATGGAGGCTGAATTTGAACTCTGTTGAGATGTTTCTGGTGTTGGTTCCCCTCAGGTTTCAGGAACCTGCACCTGGATGACCAGATGACACTGCTTCAGTGCTCCTGGCTTTTCCTCATGTCCTTCAGTCTCGGCTGGAGATCTTATCAACAGTGTAATGGAAACATGCTCTGCTTTGCTCCGGACCTCGTCATCAATGAGTATGCAGCGTTTTATTAACACCTGTGTTTTGATGTGTGTGCTTTTAAAGACATTTTGTCTGTCTGGTTAGTGGAGCATCTCAGAAGTACTGAGCCTCAATATGATACAGTAATTGATTAAAACTCAGCTACAGATGGATTTCATTTTTAGAAGATTGCAGCTAATTCTGAAAGTATATTTAATAAATGTGTCCATTAGTTTCCCCCCCTGGTATTTAATGAATATTTGTTCACTTGAAGGCACTTCTGTAAACGACATAAAATGAAGTAAATCCCTAACCGAGTGCGTTTGCACCCACAGGGAGCGGATGAAGCTGCCCTACATGGCCGAGCAGTTTGAGCAGATGATGAAGATTTCCAGCGAGTTCGTCCGGCTGCAGGTTTCCCACGATGAGTATTTGTGCATGAAGGTCCTCCTGCTGCTCAGCACAGGTCAGACGTTAGCTCTGGAGCTGTTAAAAAATTGCACTTCTTTCAGGCTCAGGTGTTGGCATTGTGTTTGTGTGTGTATCTTCTGCAGTACCTAAGGACGGCCTGAAGAGTCAGGCGGTGTTCGAGGAGATCCGCATGTCGTACATTAAGGAGCTGGGGAAAGCCATTGTGAAACGCGAGGAGAACTCCAGCCAGAACTGGCAGCGTTTCTACCAGCTCACCAAGTTGTTGGACTCCATGCATGAGGTACAGACATGCAACATTTGGGAGATGTTGGCTAGATCCTTCTGACAACATGAACTTTGTTTTTTTTTTATAACTATTAGAAGAAGTAGCTCATCTTCAGCAACACAACAACTCAAGTAGATGGTGTTTTTAGATATGTGAAGCTTAGCTGGTCTTATGATGTATTACAGTTTATCTGTTAAAGGGACAATATCGACTTTCAACTACATATTTGAGCAGCAGCATTTTAAAACTAAATGTACAGCCTTTCAAACAGCAAATATATTTTTGTTTATTTTTTTTATTTGACCTTTATTTTGCCAGGTGACATGTTTGAGAACCTGTAATATTTCAGTCTTTTAAGGGAGACTTTCTAAATGAAGAAGGCTCTACTTGGTGAATCAGGTGCTTTAGTTCAGATAGACCCTCACAAGTATAGCACAGACTGTTTAGTAAGGTTAAAGAGTAGCTAAAGTATATTTTCAGCTGCTTCCATCTAGAGCTGTGCGATAAAAACTTTTTAAAATATCGAGATAATTTTTTTGCGATACGAGACCATATCTCTAAATGATAAAATGTTATACTTGAAAATCCGCCTGCTGTCTTCTTTCTCCGATGCAGCCCCTCCGCCTGCCGCCTTGAATACAAACCTAGCCCCTTAGCCACGCCCCCCCCCCCCCCCCTTTCCTGCTTCTCCAGGAGGTGGGTGGGAGATGTTCAGCACAAGTAAACACGGGAGATTTATGAAGAACTGCTGAGCAAAAAGACAAACATTGGCTGTTCTTTCGGACATGGTTTGGATATAAATTGTCAGATGAGGGGCAGAAAAATGATTTCTGTAGACAATGCTGAAAACAAGTCCTGACTAAAGGTCGGAACTACGACTTTTTTTCACCATTTAAAACAGTGGAGTGGAGTATGAAGCATGTGTGAACTGCAGCTGCAGCTCTGACAGACTTCAGCCTCCTTCCCTGAAACAAACCACGGGTCAGAACTCATTTAGCCGCGCTGTGCCTCATGAGAGGAAAAGTGAGAGCATGACATTAATAAAGCAGCAGCTTATCATATCGCTAAAAACACAGTCCTTAGTGGCTAACAAGACAGCTAACGCTTTAGCCGTCTTGTTCCACAGCCGAGACTGGGACCGTGTCTGTCGGAGTCTGTCGGAGCTGCAGCTTCACACACACTAACGTCGTGAAGGTGGCGCAGCTGAAGAGGGTTATTATTTAATATATGTAAATAAATGTCTAAAAAAATAAACAATTTAATGTATGTAAATAGTTTTTTTTTTTTAGACATTTATTTTGTACAGTTACAGCTGTTGTTAATAAATGTGCCTGTGTGACAACTGGGACAAAGCTTTGACTCGGAAATATATTTTTTAGAAAGAAAAAATATCAATATCTATATTGTATATCGCAGTTTATCTTAAAATATTGAGCTATTAATTTTGGTCCATATCACCGAGCCCTTCGTCCATCCATTGATTCTGGGTTTTTGTACACAAGTTGTGAGAAACCTTTGTCTCTGCTAGGCCTTTAGTCCAGATCGTTTGAATTATTGTCCGTTCTTGCACAAACAGCCTGAATCACACTGGTGCTTCAGACCTGCTTGGAACATGAACACTGATGTCCCCAATGAATTAACGACTGAATCTCATCGCTGTCTCGACCTGATGGGACCAGCAATGTGCATTTTATATTTAAATGTAGCTTTTGTGTGTGTGTGTGTTAAACATTAATCAACACCCCATGCGTTGTCTCCTTGTGTGTGCAGATGGGCGGCGGGTTGCTCAGCTTCTGCTTCTACACCTTTGTGAACAAGTTCCTGAGCGTGGAGTTCCCCGAGATGCTGGCGGAGATCATCAGCAATCAGTTACCAAAATTCAAGGCTGGGAGCGTCAAACCTCTCCTCTTCCATCAGAGATGACTGTTTCCTGTAGCAAACACAAGGCCTTAAAGTCCCGCCACATCACCTCAGCAGCTCGACACAACTCACCCCCTCCTCCTTCCCCCACCCCCATCCCGCCACCCTCCAGACAAGCAAAGAATAAAGAGCAGACTACCTAACGCCAGGAGAGGACGACGTTTTCAGGAAACGAGCATCGGCGTGACGGGCGCAAATGGTCTGGTGGGATAAAGCGACGTTTGTGTAGGAAGCAGACGGCGAGCGCGCCACGTTTTGCTTTGTTCAAGAGTCTAAGATATAGTGTCTAATAAGAGTAGGAACTGTTTGTAAAATCTAATCGCAGAGAGAAATAATAGGCTAACATTAATGTTGTCTCAGGTGTCTTACTTTCAAATCTAGAACGATATCTAAAATAGATACAATTATCTATGTACAGCTTCTGATAGTATTTTCTACATTTTCAAACTACGACAGTTTATACAATTTTCCAGGTCGTCGTCACCCACGAGGGTGATGAAAGCTTAATAACATGCTCTTAAGTAGGCTTTTATGTTCTAATTTTAGTCTTTATAGGAGGTTGTAACGAAATGTTTTTTCTGTCACACAGAGGAAAAAGATCTGTTTTCTAGCGATTTCAACAAAAGCATATTTCTTTGCTTTGATTATGTAACTATTTACATAGTTTTTCGTGGACCTGTTGGCTATAAAGTCCACCAATAATTTCTCCCACAAGCCGACCTCTTCCAGGTTTACACGTCGATTACAAAAGGGAAAAAGATGTGCCTTTTTTTGCTTAAAAAAATCATCTAAGCCATTTTTTTCCTATCGTCCTTCAACCTGTCATCGTCTACCTTCATCGTAAGTTGATTGTACTTTTTTATATTACACACAGTTGCAGCTTTCCTCTTTTTTATTTTTTTTAGTGGCTGCTTATCTTTTCAAGTGGCAGCTCGGTTTATCCTACGTGTGTAGACGTTTTTTTTTGTTTTGTTTTTTTGAATCGCTGAGAAACAAAAATATTTAGCCTGCTTCCTTTCATGCGAGCTCGTCACGCACACACTGCGGCAGAGGTGCGAGCCGAGCGCCTCGCACTCTGCGAAAGGCTTTAAGAAGACTGTGAAGAAAGATTTTTATTCTGTACCAGTCTTTCGTGTGAGACTTTAGATGAAATAGCTAGAACTTGTTTTCTGTCTGCCCCAGTAGTCTGATTATAGGATGTGATGGATACATGCGTTTGCCAATCACACGTGAAAGGGCATGTATTATTGTGCTTGCAAATTTGTCGTTTTTGAATATTCAGGAGTACTAATTTCTGTCGTTTTTTTAATATGGCTCAAACTAGTTAGAAAATAACCGTCCTCCACGTTTTTTTTTTGTTTGTTTTTTTTGGTATAAATACAGTCCTAATTCCAAGGATGACTTTTCTATAACCGTGTATCCTTTGCTCTCTGTAAGCATCTGCATTTTTATTTTTATTTCCAAAACTTTTGTATTATTTTATTTATTCACGGGATAGTTAAACACTTTTTGAAAACATAATCAGTTCGTGTTTTGCTAAGAGTTTAGAGTCGGTGCACAGTTTGAACAGCAGAAAGGAACAGGCCTGCTCAGTCCAAGTGATCGTTTGTGTGTTTTGAAGCAGAGGGAAAGGTTTGGAGTAGAGTCCGTCTTGGCTGTTGGAGACGGCTCCTTGACTGGCCTCAGTTTGGAGAGACGGTTCAGTCCTGACCAGAAGGAGGAGCAACGGACTAGACGTGAGCGTTTTAAGCAAGAACTCGGTTTTCGTCAAAGATTTGAGCCCAACTCGTGCAGGGCTAATTAATATAGCACAACGATATCCGCACAACAACAAACTGTTTAAAAGCAGAGAAAGTATCGTGATAATCACCGAAGATGCTTTATGATTTAGGATTGTTGCCCGTTTTGTGCTTGAGCATAAAAAAACGCCTGTTCACACAATTCTGGTGACGTAAAGTTTACGCCTCAAAGCTCAAACCCTCCAGTGAAACAGGCTGTCGTGCTGCTACTGCTGCTAGCCAGGGATCTTTCAAATCTATTTTCACTGGTCCAGTGTCCTGGTTTCCACTTAGCCTTCCAAACGGAGTTGTTTTTTGTGGGTGTGGAGGCATCGAAGAAGGGAGGGGGGACCACACATGGACTTGACCAGGTGCAAGTGTAAATACAAAATAAGATGGTTATGTGCTAGTCCAAGCAGAGCCAAAGTGGACTGCTTCCATCCTAACCCTCCTGCTGCCCCTAGTTTAAAGACCCAGGTCTACTGGGTCGTTTTGACCCGAGGGCAGCAGGAGGGTTAAAACTCCTTCAGTCTCAAAAATATTAGTGATTCCTGCAAACAGTATTTTATAAATATCATCAGGTTCACATCACAGTTGAAGCATATTTAAGTGTAAATAGTGTCAGCAGTAGCTAGCTGTAGCACTTCCTGTGCATCCTGGGACTCTTCCACTATTTCTGCCAGATTAGCTGTGAAATTCAAAACTGGCCGCGATAGAAAACGTTTGCACGAACCGCTGTGACGTTAGCCGTTAGCTCGTTAATCTGGTCAGAGTGAGGTCGGTGACAGAGCTATCTTCAACAGGTAAGATGATGATATTCATTTCTAATCTTTTCACTTCAGAAACCTCTGAACCATCTCTAACAGCCAGCATCTTATGACTGGGCTCAGTCTCTCTGGGAACGGATGCCACCACACTGGGTGTTTCTTGTATAGTTGGTTTCCTGTTTAGGCCGAACCGACTCGGCTGAGCTGCAGATGGCATATTGGAACCATCCGATTCATAATTTTCAGCTTCATTAATGTTGCAGCTGGTCTTAATTTTCTCTTCACTCTCAGCAAAAAATATGAAAATGATAATATTTTCCTCTTCAAATGTCAACATATTCCTGTTTCAAACGATGGCTTGTGTATACTGCACTTTGGATCAGGCGTTGGCAGATTCATTATCCTTTAACCCCCCCACCCCCGTGTGACACCATATTTTAATCGTTGCATGTTGGTGTAATCGTCTGAAGGCCCTCAGTCACCACGGACGGGACAGGCAGGCACAATCAGATCCTTCGTTCTCTGGGAACTATTTCAGTGCCAAACTCCCATTTTTTTTTTATTTTATTTTTTTTTTTTTGTTGTCAGGGATGCTTGGAAATCGGTCAGTATTTGTAACAAATGAATCCATTTATGAAATCTTTGTCGAAAAGGAAAATAGGAGGAGTGGGTCCTGAGCTTGCCTGACCTTCAGTCCCGCACATCAACGCAGGTCTTTGTCTTCGATTTGTGCGTTTTCGATGTGTCGCAGCTTTTTCATCTGGTCTACAGAGCTCATCTTAACCTGTTTTTTTTTTTTTGTGTGTTTTGAAGAGATTTTAACACGTGATAAAAGTTTTATTAAAGTAGTAGCAAAGAACTGTTATTGGTAGGTGAAACATCTGTCAGGAACGAATTAAAAATGTTGTGAACGGCTGCAAAGCGCTCACTCCTATATATAAATATGAACTACGGTTTTTAACGTCTATCCCAAAACCAGATAAAGTGCTTCTATATTTTATTCTGCTCCAGTGCTCAGGTTTTTAAAGAAATGGTCTGACTCACACAGTTTATCGTCCGCTCTCAGTTCTGACAGGAAGAACCAAAAACAGTTTTTGCTTTTGTGTTTCATGTTTTATGTGTAAAATTTAAAAAAATACAAAAAAAAAACCTGCAAAGTTTGAGGAATCTGCCACCGCCTTTCACACCTCCTGTGAGCTCGAACAGATCTGGGTTTTTTTTTTTTTCAAGAATAGTTGAACACTATCCTCATTTCCTGTAGAAGGTTACTTTCACATTCAGTATATCCAAACTTCTGCTGCTGCTCTTCATTTATACAGGTATATATAGAGAGATTTAAATATATATAGATACATTTATATATATATAAATATATGAGATCGCACACTTGCCTCGTCTTGCTCAAAAATGTATCCTGTTTACTTTCCTGTACATTTTTGAGACCAACTGAATATGCAATAGAAATGACAGATAATCTATCTTCACAATGTGCTCTCGTGTTTTTTTTTTTTTTTTTAATCAACACAATATAAGCTACGTGCATACGGGAGATTCATTACTTTTTTTTTTTTTTTTTTAATCTCTGCAGGCCAGATTTTCAGGATCTTTCAGGAAACGATAAATCAGCCCGCCCAGATTCCAACAAAACGCAGATTTAATGTCGAAACACGGTGACCAAAGCAAGTTCAGATCAATTCAACACAAAATACAGAGCTATGACATGTGTACAGGTCTTTTTATTATTTTTATTTTTTACATGTCTTTGGTCAGATTGTGTAATACTGTGAATAGGATAGGACTCGGTCTTTTTTCATACACAAACTGTTTGTGAAAGTAATCAACCAGCTTGAATCTACACAAAAAGATTGCACTACCCAAATATTGTTTGAAAGTCTATTTTGTATAAAAACATATGCAGACAATAATTATGAGAATTGCAAAGGGCGGATCATGTTTCACTGGTTCATGTTTTCTCCGGAAAGCGTTTTTTTTTTTTTTTTGGGCTCTAAACCAGTTTAATATGTACATATAATCCATTGTAAAGAAAAAAAAAAAAAAAAGATGTGGTGTATTTGTCTCCAGGTAGTTTTTTCAGTACCGACCCTCTGTATTCTTTCTCTCTGTAGTGTGACTCTTGTTGATCTTTTCCTCCATTGATTAAAGGTTGAACCGTGTGTGTTTGTGTGCTACTTCTCCACCTGAACAGGATCTGTACGCCAATGTTTGCCCCGACACTAACGCGCTGATTCTGAACGGTGAACGCGGTGAAAGCCACTTTTCATGATTGCAGCACTTCTTCATCGAATAAATGTGTTTTCCCATCCGACACCTGGTTTATTGTAATTCACTGAGACTTCGCAGACTGACCAGACTGAAAACTACACGTGCAAAAGGAAATGAGCGCAGGCCACAATCGAACAGTAAATGTAAAAATTATAAGGCTGTAAAAAAGGTGAGAAGCAACATTGCAAAAAGACGTCTTAAATGTAGCAGACTAACAGGCGTGGAAAAAACGATTGTTGAATTAAACTAATTCAAGAAATTGCTTTGAAATTTTGGTTCAAATTAATTTTAAGAAAACTGGCTTTCACAAAAATATGGCACCCTTTCTAGAAAAACATCTAAATCCTGCAGGCTAGCGGGCCTGAAGGACCAGGATTGGACACCCCTGGAATAGTCCAGTGTGTCATTCTTGGGTGTTTTTATCAGTTTTGGGTCATTTTCCTGTTGGAGGACTCTTGGATCAGCAACATGCTCCCAAGTCCTGCTGTATATTTTACTCCAGTGTGCCTCGATAGTCTTGAGATGTAATTGTCTTGCACAGATTCAAGAAGACCTGTCATGCAGCAAAGCCCCCCCGACCACAATGGAGCCTCCATGTTGCACTGCAGGTAACCATCTTCTTTATGGGGGTCCGTGAACAAACCTGTAGCTGTGGAATTCTGATCGGATCTCTCCTTAACTTGGCAGTCAGGGAGTGAGAGATGACGGGATGTACAGCCGCTGGTCATAAAATTAGACTATCTTGAAAAAGTTGATTTATTTCAGTTAATCCATTCAAAAAGTAAAACTTGTGTATTCATTACACACAAACTGATATATTTCATGTTTTTTTCTTTTAATGTTGATTATTATAACTAATGAAAACCCCAAATTCGGTATCTCAGAAAATTAGAATATTACTTAATACCATTTAAAAAATAATTTTTAGAAATGTTGCCCAACCGAAAAGTACGAACATGAAAAGTATGAGCATGTGCAGCACTCAGTACTTAGTTGTTGCTCCTTTTGCCTGGATTACTGCAACAATGCAGCGTGGCATGGAGTCGATCAGTCTGTGGCACTGCTCAGGTGTTATGAGAGCCCAGGTTGCTCTAATAATAATAATAATATATAATAATAGTGGCCTTCAGCTCTTCTGAATTGTTGGGTCTGGTGTATCACATCTTCCTCTTCACAATACTCCATAGATTTTCTATGGGGTTATGGTCAGGTGAGTTTGCTGGACAATTAAGATCAGGGATACCATCATGGTTCTTAAACAACATGTACTGGTAGCTTGCAGGTACCAAGTCCTGTTGGAAAATGAAATCTGCATCTATATAAAGTTGGTCAGCAGCAGGAAGCATGAAGTCTCTAAAACTTCCTGGTAGATGCTGCGTTGACCTTAGACCTCAGAAAACACAGTGGACCAACACCTGTAGATGGCATGGCCTCCCCAAACCATCACTGACTGGAAACTTGACACTGGACCTCGATCAATGTGGATTCTGTGTGTCTCCTCTTTTCCTCCAGACTCTGGGACCTTGATTTCCAAAGGAAATGCAGAATTTACTTTCATCAGAGAACATAACTTTGGACTATTCAGCAGCAGTCCCAGGTGAGACGCTTCTGACACTGTCTCTTGTTCAAGAGTGGCTTGACACAAGGAATGCGACAGCTGAAACCCATGTCTTGCATGGTGGTTCTTGATGCACTGACTCCACCTGCAGTCCACTCTTTGTGAATCTCCCCCACATTTTGGAATGGGTTTTGTTTCCCCATCCTCTCCAGGGTGCAGTCATCTCTATTGCTTGTACACTTTTTTTCTACCACATCGTTTCCTTCCCTTCACCTCTCTATTAATGTGCTTGGACACAGAACTCTATGAACAGCCAGCCTCTTTAGCAATGACCTTTTGTGTCTTGCCCTTTGTGTGCAAGGTGTCAATGGTCATCTTTTGGACATCTGTCAAGTCAGCAGTCTTCCCCATGATTGTGTATCTTATAAGAGACCATTTAAAGGCCTTTGCAGGTGTTTTGTGTCAACTTGCTGATTAGAGTGTGGCACCAGGTTCTTCAATATTGAATCTTTTCACAATATTCTAATTTTCTGAGATACTGAATTTGGGGGTTTTATTAGTTGTCAGTTATAATCATCATTAAAATAAATAAACATTTGAAATCTGTGCTGAATGAATATAATAAGTTTCACTTTTTGAATGGCATTACTGAAATAAATCAACTTTTTCATGATGTTCTAATTTTATGACCAGCACCTGTCACCACAGTGATCTTGCCACAGGCAGCAGTTTGAACATTTCAGTTTCTTTACATTATACAGTTCATACAACAACAGGTTTAGACCTGGGCATTTATGGCAATTTCTTCAGAAATATTCTAGTTTTTCTGCAAACATCTGGAGCCAACACTGTATGTAATGTTGCTTCAAATTTCCTGCCCAGTGGTGCTCGTGACAGGTGCTTCTTAATCAAAGTCTTTAAGCTTCAAGGTTAAAGCTTGAAATGGGTGATGAAGCGCTTCCAAGGCACCTGAGGTTGTTCTGAAAGCGCAACATCTCCAGTTGAATGTGACCCTGATGGGGATCGGAATGAATCGGGAGCGCGCATGTTGCCAAGCTGTGGTTTCATATCTGCGCTCGTTCACGACCACAAACTCCAGACCGCAGGGGACAGACCCGCTGGAAGCCTCCACTGGGAGCCCAACCCCCCACCTGCTCTGATCGGGATGGCGGACGGAGAAGTGTTGGCTGCCGGGGATGAGTTTGAGGACGGCGGCCTGACGCTGCGGGACTACCGGCGGCTGACCCGGCTCTACTGCATGAACGGCGGGTATCACCTCCAGATCCTCCCGGACGGGACGGTGCAGGGCCGGAGGGACAAGCAGGACGTTTACGGTAAGGCTCCGCACTGCGCATGCGCACATCCCGTTCATGCACCGCCGCATGATGCGTTCACGTCCTCTCGCAGTTGGAGGTTAAACATCCCGCAGCTTCGGTCATTTTGGTCGTTTAAAATAAAAGCGTCTGCATAAAGAATATATAATAAAGTAGCGCATACATGTTGTAAAGTAAAACTGGAAACGGTGAGCTTTATTTAAACTTTAAAGTTTACATTTATTTATTTATCATCCTGAGACATAACCCGGAGATATACAGCTTAATTCTTAGTTTAAAACAAGCTTAGTTCAAAACAAGGTAAAATAAACAAAACAGGAGCTAAAAGCTAAACATAGCAAAACTAGTTAAAAGCTGAATGTGTCCAAACTGTAGCAAAATGCAGCAAACCCATAGCTAAAAGCTATATGTGGCTATAAAGTTTAAAAACGTACAGCCATAGCTATTTGCTAAATGCAGCGTAAAAGCTAGGTAGTAAACTGTAGCTAAAAGCTAAATGTTGCAAAACCATGGCTAAATGGAGAAAAAACATCTAGATTGGAGCTAAATGCTAAAATTAGCAGTTGTGCAGTCAGGGGCCTAGCAAGACTGAAGACAGAAGCAGTGGAGCAACTTCAGAAGATCTTTCTGAGATCCTAATGATTTGTAAATAGTTAAATGTTGAAAGGTTCACACAATGAAATACAGCCACAAATTTATTTCCAATGACTGTCAGTGTCCACCAAAAAAAACAAACTAAACTGGACAAAATAAATGAAAAAATGTTTATTGTGTAGCAAATTCACATCCTTAAGATGATTGATGTATGGATCTTCATCTGCTCCCCTGACTCTCAACTAACAATCAAGAAGATCACTTTCATGTCTAGAGGAAAATCCTGAAAAGAAACTTAACAGAAAAAACAAGTTTGATACACAGAAGCTCACACTGAAAATAAATGGCACCATTCAAAGTAAAATTTAAACCTAATCTAAAGTTTTGGATGAAATCTGTTCAATCTAAACCGTCACCTGAAATGAAACAGTATTTCACATTTAACAAAGTTTTCTTGTCGATGTTTGGTCATAAATTAATCCAACTCTGTTGTTTCAGCTGGAATTCAACATCTGTCTCCTTTCAGCTGTTTTAAGGATCAAAGCTGTGGACAGAGGCGTCGTCGTCATTCAGGGGACAGAAACCGAGCGATATCTGGCCATGAGCGATGAAGGCCGTTTGTACAGCTCCGTGAGTGCAGATGATTTACAACAATTCAATCAGATACTGAAGAACACGCAATCCAACCTGATCAAATGTCTAATTTCAGTTAAGTGGACTTTGTTTGTGTTCCTGCTGCAGCCCACAGTCACCGATGAATGTTACTTCCTGGAGAAACTGGAGGAGAACCACTACAACACATATCAGTCCCAGAAGTATCAAGACAACACTTGGTACGTAGCCCTGAAGAAAAACGGCAAACCTAAACTCGGTCCGAGAACCCACATCGGACAGAAGGCCATCTTCTTTCTCCCCAGACAGCTGGATGATTCCCGGGACTAAAGGAACAACAAAAAATGTACAAACAGACCGAAACCTGCTGAAAGCATCGTCGCCTGGCCCTGTAATAAATCATGACGACGTGGAGGTGAAACCGTCTGTTTAGCTGTGATCCAACCAGCGATTGGTCCAAACTCTGCTTCTGTAAAACACTGCAGCCTTTAATGAGTTCTGTGTCCACCAAGGGTTTTCATTTGGGACAGAGCAAAAAGAAATGACATCGTTAAGAAACGCAGCTTCTCCGTCCTTTTTTCTTTTAGTAGCAATTTAACTAATTCTTCAACAAAGGTGGAGTAATCTTCCCAGCACTGTTTGTTATTTCAGGCTTTGTGGTTCCTGAAAAAAAATGTCTGAATTACTGAGAACCTTGGTGCAGAGGTGGAACGTGTGCATGCAGAGGTGGAACGTGTGCATGCAGCGTTCTCAGTACAGGCTCAGTAGTTTTTAAAATTCAGACCCGTCAGAAAGAGAAGCCTCAGTAGAACCAAGAGCAACTCATCCCAAACATCTGGTGGAAAGAGGCAACCCGTTGGGACATGGGTCCAGATGTGGTGGCGTCATCTTTTTAGTCGATGCTGCTAACCTGACAATGTTACGTGCCTGGTGGTGCAGTCGTAACCTTTTCTGTCGCAGACGCTTTGTTCATGCGACGCAACATTGCTGCAGATTTAAAACAAATCAACATCTTATAAACATGTTTGTAAGTTCAATCATCCAGGTAGATAAAAGAAGGTTAAATCATTTCATCTGGACCAGTTTCTTTAAAGGGATCTGGTCCAGATGAAATGATTTAACAACATGTAGATGTGTGAACTCTTTGCCTCCACTAGAGGCCGACAGTGAGTAAAGACTGCTTGACCTACTTGCATTTTTGAGCAACAAACTTAATTTTACAACTAGATTTAGATTTCCCTGCAGATGATAATCCTCCAGATTTCCTGCAGAGTTTGACCTTGCAGCATATAATCCCTGCTCTTTGTCACAACTGATTAAAAGTTCAATGAAATAATCCAGACGAGCCAGAAGACCCATTTAAAGTGATATTTATTTAACACTAAATATTTTCTGTACAGTTACACAACAAAACTCCAACACTTCAGCTCTACGTCACATAGAAACAAGCATAATTGGTTTTTAATCAAAGCCATGGCAGAAGTTAAATGGTGATTTAATCAGTTTGTGTGTGGTTTAATACATTAATGGGAACAACCTCGGGGTTTTATTGGTTTAGCATTTAAAAGTGCAGCTGCAAACATTGTTTGATATAATTGATACTGAACTTCAAACACAGAATGAAGAAAGTTGAAAGAAGAACTAAACTAATTTTACCATCTGCTCATTAAATCTTCAGGCAAAAACAAACAAAAAAAACACTTGGAGGCGGAATTTAAGTTATTTTAACGCTCGTCATGTAATTTGATCCATCCGTCTTCTTAAAAGACCAAAACTCAGACAGAAAACAGATATTTCTATAATCAGTGAAGGAAATATTCACTGACTCACTCGAGAGTCATCAAGAGGTCGGACTAACGTTTAATTTTTTTATTCAAAGACGGATCAAACATGAGCTCACGTGCTCAGAAAAACGGTTGCAGTCACAGAACAAACATTCAGGAGGCGATGCTGTCAAAGAGGCCGTTTAGAGGTTCGTTTCTGGACATTTGCAGGTTCAGACCTTCCTACAAAAATTCAAGTATGGATCATTAAAGAGCATCTCAACTTAAAATCTGCTTCCAGGTGTGGATCATTTCACCTCAAATCAATGTACAGCAACAAAAATAAAACAAGTAGAATGCGACATAGGTCTCGTTTTGGTATTTTTGTATCCACCGACATGGTTTGGTGGACGGCAGCGATTTAAAATGGAGACTGAAATCAGCAGGCGAACGCAGAGCTTCCAGCCATCAGGTGAGTGAAATACAGAACCACGTCTACAGCACCTACAGCTTGCCTTTTCTGGTGACCCCCCGAGTCTAAAACAAGTGGCGTTAGTGAACGTTACACAGTGAGCTGCATGCTAAGGCAAATCTACAGCGTTGCACTAATTATTATTACCTGCTGGCTTCAACGCGGGGCTCTAATTATGAACGTGGCGGGCAGAAGCATGCTCGTATGCTACCATCAAATGACATAAGGCTTTACTCGTACGGTACAGACAGGTGTAAATAGCACTTAACATTTGCCACTAATTAATACATTAAGAGACCATTAACCATGTTGTATTAATAAAGAATCAAAACAAGTCATATAGTTCCTGAATGTGTTACCGCCATGAGTTGTCTTTATCTAGAACTCTTCTGGACGATTGCCGGTTTCTTCGTGGGAATTTCAAACACATTTTCTGTGCACCTTGTCCTTTCACGTCTGGAGTGAATGTCAAAGAAAAAAACACAAAAAACAACGACGTTATGAACAGTTCAGGAACCAAGCTGGTTAATAAGGAGTATTATTTGGTCCTTGATTGTACCAGATGCATTCATGGACCAGCTGTGGATGACTGAAATATATAATTTAATGCATCTTCGTTTGGTTTCGGTCACTGCGAACTGCGTGGCGTTGTTTAATCCTTTTGATTTTATTTGTTCAAGCATGAGTGGCGTTTGGAGATGCCCAAGCTCAGCACATCTGATAACATGTTTCATTTAAACAGCAGGACGGTTTCTGCCGTCATGTCTCTGGATTCATTGTCCAAGTTTTCTTTTGGCACTAACAAGAACTAAACCGCCCTTAATGCTCATTACTGTGGTGTTTTAATATACACGTTCTTCTGCTGCTCTCTGAAACAGATGAACGTTCAAGATGTTCAGAGTCTTGCTCATCGCTGCAGCTGAAGTAAAGTGGGCTGCTCGTAAATGTAAAACATTTCCAGTTCAGCGTCACAGCTGGTATGAGCCTCACATCCAGATTAAAACTACTTACCTCTAATAAATGAAAAGTACTCTTGTTCTGGGGAGGTTGCCGTAAGCGGGATCAACCAACTTGCGCACTCTGGAGTAGTTAACGAAGCCTCTGATGAAGAGCATGAAACCTGGACGGAACATTAAAAAAATAACTAAGCTATTTAAAATGCATTGATTCAATAGTTTAGTTTATTAATCTGTATCGATGTCTTGCAAACGAGCAGAATTAACAGAAACTGGCTTTAAAAGAAAAAAAAGAAAAACGCTCAACAGCAACATCACTGCCCTGAAATCCTGACTCGGATACTTTCTACTGAACTAAATTTAAACTCAAATGTATCCAAATGATTTGAGAGAGAGAGAAAAAAAAAAAAAAAGGTTGGCGTTTCTCAACAAAAATAAAATTCAACACTTTCTAAAGTGGAGCGTTGTTTTCTGGAAGACCTCAGTATTTTCTGAAGAGCACGTTGACATAACGTAATGTTCTTCTTCAATGATCAACCAATAAATGAGACCTGTCTAATGTGTTTAAATCAGAGTTTCAATGTGAAAAATGTTTTTTTTTTTTTTTTTAGAAACGTCAGGTGCCTGCAGGGCAGAATGCCCACTGACTGAGTCTCACTTATCCATAAGTAGTATACTTTCATTAATAATACTCTCATAATGCAAGAATACACTCTGCTAATAGGTCCATGCTGCTGTAGATTATTTCTTTTTCACTTTTGGTGCCTTGTTTTTGTATTTTTGTTACATGCATTTCGCATTTCTGGTTGTTTTTTTGTTTGTTTGTTTTGGGCGAGTTGAGACGGTTCTTCTTGTCCTGAGCATTTCATTGCATTGTGTTGATCTGCATATGACAATAAAAATAAACCTGATCTAATAATTTGCTACTGTACAACGTGAAATGTCCTTAAAGAAACCGCTCATTTTCATTTAAGCACTTAATTTACTATTTTAACTAACATTGCCATGGTGTTACAATAGGGTTACTTTCTACATTAAATAATGTGTCTCACTCACCAAGAGCCAGGAACACCCACCACAACCAGTACTGACCATCGAAGTAACCAGGGAAATAGGTGGAAAACTGCAGAAGTTCAGAGATAATACAGTCAAATCATAACCAGGTAGGTGAGAACACATTCATGTTCCTCCGTCTAAACAAAACTACAGTAAAGGTTGCTACATACTTCACAAGAAGCAAGAAATGTGTTCTTTCTCCTAGGTCTGAGAGAAAAGAATTGCCATATTTTTCACCCTATAAGTCACAGTTGTTTGCATAATTTACATGCCCTGCGACTTACAGACCGAAGTGATGTATTTATGGATTTTTTCCCAATATTTATAAACCATTTTTTGGCTGAGATGACCGTTTTCATTCATCCTGACTGAAAATATTGAACACTACCATTTTCAGCAGATAGATGGCACTCGGGTAGTAAGGCATGCTGTTGTATCATGTAATAGTTAAAAAAGTGGCTATTAATGACAAATTAAAAAAAATTAAAGACAAAAACAACTGGACTTAATTTATTATACTTTACTTTATACTTAGTTTTTTCTTTAACTTTTTTTTTTATTTACCATGTCCTGGATGACTGAGAATTTTCACCAGCTGTTAATGACACAATCGGCTTGCCATACACTTCGTTCCGCTCACTGCTTGGAGCAACCGTCACAGCAGCTGCACCGCCCCGGCGAAATGCAGCTAATTTGACCATTAAAGTGCATTTATTAAGTAAAAGTTCAACTGAGACACACCTTTACTATAATTTTGAGCAAACAAATAATTCATTCAAACTTTATTTATAATTGTTTTAGGTGCTTATCTTGTTAAATTTCGAAGAAACGCGCAGTGTTCCCCCTTCCTTTTTCCCTCCCTGTCTGCACGCTTCCGGGAGCACAGAGGCAGCGAATACTTTTGAAATGCAGCTCATTTGACAAAGTCCTTTTATTAAGTAAACGTTAGACTGAGACACACCTTTACTATAAAATCGAGCAAACAAATAATTGTTTGTAGGTGTATATTTTGTTAAATTTCCAAGAAATGAACAGCGAGTCGTCCCTCTGCGCGTGCCCGCTTCAGCGACTCGGGCTTTGAAATGCAGCTGATTTGACCGTCATAGTGCATTTATTAAGCAACAGTTAAACTGAGACACACCTTTACTATAATTTCGAACAAACAAATAATTGTTTTTAAGTGTTAATCTTGTTAAATTCTTGTTAAAGTCCTCCCGTGCACGCGCTCACGGCCACCATTTGGCAGCCAATTGATTTTTGGCACAACACCGGCGCACATTTCCGGGTTGTCAGCGCTGACGTGTAACAAACGCGACGCGTCAGCGGTGACGCATAATAGATAAGACGTATACGGCGAAGCAACGTTTTTATGGATTTTTCCACTTGATTAGACATGTTTGGACTGTAACGACTTAAAGGGCAGAGCAACGTTTACGGCAGAAAAGATGGTACGTTTTCTTTCCTCACAGCCTTTGTTTGGGCGTTCTTGCAGCTTGTTCTCAACACATGATCTGTGCACAACTTTTCTCAGTGGTGTCTGGGAACTTTTTGTGATTGGGCAAGAATGTGACATCAGCGTTTGGATTTTAAGTGTCTGTGACATGCATTTCCTACAAATACAAACAATGGAAGAAAACGTCTCTATTTTCAAGAAATCTGGCACAATAAACTTCCTATAAAGGATAAAAATATTATAGAAACCCATTTAGTCAGAGAACAGGTATATTTTTGTTTAGTAACTTATAACTTTGCGTGACCAAAGTGAAACTGGAAGTGATGACAAAGGAAACTCTTCAGCTTCGTCTTCGGTCACATGACCAACACGTTGAACTGTCGGCTGTTCCAGGGGCTCAAACGTAAAAGGAGCAGCACCCAGAACTGTCATCTGATGATAGCTGACCTACTTCTCTTTGTCTCTATCTGATAGTGACTCAAAACAATCTAAAACAGATTCGTCTCCACCGTCTGTGTTGTTAGCCATTGTAGCAATGCTGTTTTCATGCAGGTTTCTCTTTGTCTTACATTCCTGTTGCTGTGCAGGTGACTTTTCAGTGACATTTCATCTAAGTGGTAATGTTAATGAAGTTATCTTTACAATAGCACATTAGTATTTATCATGACAATTTAATGTCACGGGCACTTTAAAGTGGAAATGTTTACATTTCCATTTTTTTCTGCCGGAGTGGAAATTTGTTTGAAGAAGAGTTTTGAGGAGCAGCTGGCCGAGGCAGAGAGGAAATGTGAAAATCTAAAAAAAACTTTTAAAGGCATATTAAGACAAGCAAATGGCAAAATCATGGAAAGAGAAAGCCCATATGTTGCTCACAGAGGAGAGCATTTGTCACAAAAAAATGTTCTGACCTTTGCAACAAATTTGCAAAGGCAGAAAGATGAGTTCAGACCCAGAGTGGTGACACTGGTGGGAAACAATCAATCAATTCTGCAGTGGGAGAGCTCTATGAGGACCTCTGGGAGTTCTGCACTCGAGTTTCTCGCAAGGAATGAAATGCCCTGGCCAAAATAAACTTTAGTCTTGACAGCTTGAGAAAACGAACACATTTCTCAGTTCTTGCAGAGTACGGTGCATATCGAGCTGGACGCAGCTGTAGAAGTGCTGTTCAGTGAACAGTTCTTACCCTGACGATGAGGACCCATTTGATGAGGGACAGGCCAAAGCCTGAGATGGCTCCATACCGACCAGCAGCTGATGTGGTCAAACAGAACGACAAGAAGAAGCCAATCCAGTTGAAGAGGAACGCCACTGGTGAAAGAAACAGTCATTATTAAAACTAACGAGCGGAAAAACATTAGCAACAAATTTGTGATTATAAAACTGTTATTTAGAAACATGAAACCTGCTTTTTCTAGTTGTAAGCAACATGAGACAAAACCCATGCGTTTTGTCTCACATTTTTTTAGCAGTTTATACAAACTAGCTTCTCAGGCCACCTAAGTTCTCAAAAAGCTCATCGTTGTGCTTCCCAGTGTTTATCTGAAGCATGAAAGGGATAAAAAAAAAAAAGACTAATGTGCTCCAACCACAGCTGAGCAGGCAAGAAATGGCCCCAATCCTGCTGCGCAATCACAAGGAGTCAGCTGTGAGCACGCCAACATCGACTTGAAAAATCACAGTCAGATCAACAACGCTGACAACAACCGTTCTGAAACATCTCAGATCAGCCTTCAGATCCTCGTGAACAAGCAGTGACCTGACGAGAGCATCCAACATGTCGGCTAACCATGTTTTATTCTGTCAGAAATCCTCTGACCCCTTTGATCAGACGGGTCGGATCAGAGCACTGCGTCTGGGATCTGTAGCTTTCAGTGTCAAATACATCAGAACAGGCGTCTCTTCTAATGCTTGTACTTATATAGTGACTTTTAAAGAATTGTTTAAAGTGTTAAAGTGGCTGAAGTTAGGCTTTGCATGCAAGACATGTTGTGATACAGTTCAGTGACCATAAATATACTCAAATCAGTAAACTACTAAAATCATATGCTTTATCTTACTGAAGAAAGTGAGCATAAAGATGCCGTCGTTTCCTATTCGCAGCTGATCAGCATCTTCAAAGTCATCTCTGGCCACAAAGTCTTCATCCTGCAACAACCAGCATTCATTTCAAAAGCTTCCGTTCACTTGATTCATTCTGAAACTACACGAGGAACGAGTTTTTGTTGTTAAGGATGTGTCTGAAAATAGGAAACGCACCGAGACTCTTCCAGTGACCAGGGGGACGGCAGCCTCGGCTTTGCTTCTCTCAGCTTCGTCGTAGGAGGGTAAAGTGGTGGCAACGCTGTAAGAAGGAGGGTTGGGAAACCTTCCTCCATCTTCCTTGTTTTCAAAAAAGGCTGTGAGTGTAAATATAAAAATGATCATTTATTCAGCAACACAAGTCTGAAACGAACTCTTAACTGTAAGAACAACAGAGCGCAAAGACGATGTTCTCCAGGAAAAAACAAGAACTTTAAGTACTTTAAGTGTCCACGTGTGTGAGGGTTGAAAGCAGGTTTTGCTTGAAGCATTAGATCTGGTAACAAATTTAGAATTAATATTATTTCACTACACTTCAAGGCAGTTCTAAAATGATGGAAATATTTTAGGGAGGACATTTAAAAACAGCAGAAGCGAAAGCAACAAGTGTTTTACTGATTAACCCGGACTTTCTGCTGACAGAAACCAATCTTCTTTCACTTCCTCCCATAAAGAAAAGCAGAGCTGAGTGTTCAGAATCAGGCCAGAGACGAGGCGTTACAGCTCAGAGAGCACATTAGTAGCAAGTGTCAATTACTGTTTGTTCTTCCCATACAAGCAGAGACTTTTATCTGGGTTGTTTGGCACTCGTCCAAGAATCCTGGTTTGTGTTGTTCAAACAGTACCAGCACTGAATCAGATCAATTAACTCGTCCAGGAAGAGCTCCAAGCTGCACCCACTTATGCAACACACTGACCTACACACTCTCAAGAAGAGGACTGGAAACATGAGACTTTAACAGCACTCGGCCTGCTCAGCTTCACAATACACTGCCTGCCAACAAAAATATAGACAAGACTACTGTTAAAGTGTGTTTAAAATTGGATTTACTTGTGGAATATTTGTGTTTAAATTCATACTGCAAGACTCCATCTCTCTTCAATCTTAAATATTTATCTGCTGAATTTTTTTTTAAATTATTATTTGGCATAATTTTAGAGCCAAACCTTAAGAAAAACCCGAAAAGATGATGCGTCTTTGAAATTTCAAGTAATAAACAACAGTCATGACAGGCTCAACCTAAAAATACTCTTGTTCGAGGAGGGGATCACATAGGAAGCAACTTTGGTCATTTGCAGATGTTTTTTTTTTTGTTGTTGTTGCAAATTATTGATCCCTCAGAAAGTTGTTCATTTCCCTTGGTTGCCCTAATCTCACTTTAGAGCACAAATCATGTTGAGGCTCTCACACATATGCAGCGAGACATTACTAACGCGTTATCTGGAGGTGTAAAAAAAAAAGAAGTGGCAGCGTTTTTCCAACCTGCGTTTGCTGCAGCAATGCTGCTGTAAGGTGGTGGGGCGTCTTGGGCTGAAGTCTCCTGGGACGGCTCCACCGGCTCCTCCTCGTTCACCAGCTGAAGCAGCAAGAACAAACAAACACTGTCCAAGTCAAATAAAAACTGCAACCAAATGTAAACATGAAATACAATAACAAATACAATTTAACTCTGTGGAGTCTGTATAAGAAACCAGAACCGCATTATCACTGTAGGACAGTGGAACATGATCATATCTTTATGTGTCCGTCACATCATTGTAGCTTTCTAGGGATCTGTTTGGTTCAAGAAACTACAGTTTAAGTTGGAGTCTCTAAATATCTAAATGAGTAAAAACAATGAAAAAAACACGACTGATTAAAAAAATAAACAATGGCGCAATGTCCTGATGTTAACCTGACTCAGTAATGTTGGTATATTTTAGTTAAGATGACCTTTTAATTGTCTTAAATCAAAATTCAATGAGCTGGGTGACAACTGGTCTCTCAGGTGTCTCTTGTAAATGAGTCCTCGAGGCTCAATGGGATTTACCTGTCTAAATAAAGGCTGAATGAAAACTGCAAAGCCAAATCTGAAGAATATTCAATCACCAATAAAGCTAAAAAAAAAAAAAAAAAGATCTTCATCTTTTAGACAACTTGGACACAGAAGGACAGAGAAGTCAGTCTACGTGTCCAGAACAGCATCACTCATAGAAACTGGGCTTAATTTCTGTACATAATTGCTACCCTATCAAATTAATTTCCAAATCAAATTTTCTCTTACATACCGACTACTACTGCTACACACTGACCAAAATAAACACTGTAATTTCCCACTGCGTGTTTACAAACGTGTTTTGATGTCTCCGGGCCAGGACTGCGCCCATGTCGGGCCAGCTAACATTACGAGGAACTAACTAGCTCCAAAATAAAAGCAACTAACGCCCATTTCACGATTTTCGTAGCACATTAATACACGAGTCTGACTCAGCTATACATATAAATCTATGCAACTATCAGAACAACTCCGGGAAACAAGGAGCGTTTGGCTGAGCTCCTTGTTAGCAGCTAACTGTTAGCATCGTTTCAGCTAGCCAACAACCTGTTACCTTACCTCCTGATATCTGACGTTACTGTTTTGTTCTGCCATTGTGGAAGAAGAATCTGGTGTGCAACACGTCCTCTTCCTAATTCAGTTGCGAATATATATCTGAGTAAAATAAATATTTCCGACGAAACAGAAGATATTTATGGTTCTCCCCCTTAGTCCGCCATCTCCTTCTTTCTCAAGAACGACAGCGGTTATGGTGCTGTATTCAAGTGCCGTCGGCAACTGAAGTTGCTCGTACGCTCGAAGTTTAAAAATAAATTGTATATAAATCAGCCGCTATTTATAAATAACCGTTTTACATTTAATATTAAAAAACGTTTAAAAGTATCTAAAACTGCAGTTGCCTGAAATTGATATAGCGTAATTTTCCTTTTAAACAAAACTGAAATATCTATGAAACGTTAAACCATCTGAAAGATTTACAAGTAGCACTGAAAGGCAACACGAGCTGTTTCGTGTCATGCGACCTGAAAGAAAACCACAACACAAAACACAATCAAACTCGCTTTATTAAAAAGGATAAGTGAAAAAGAAGGCTGTAAAAACCTTAAAAAAAAAAAAAAAAAGCACTGACAGCCTGCGGTGCTCCAGCGCCTATTATGAAGATTAGTAGTGGATTTCTCCACCACTATTTCAACAGGAAATGGAGGCACTAAAGGCATCATTGGAGTGCATCTTTCTTGATAAATGCTTCATGATGTGCAAGAGAGAGGTCCTCAGTTGTTTTTGGGCTCTGAGTGAAAGGGCTCCACCAGCCTGTTGTGCACGTGCATCATCCCTGCAGAAAGAACATTCAGCATGTTTTCTGCAATTCAAGTGGCCAATATATTTTTATTTTCTTCATCCAACCAAAACTATGTTTTGTGATGACAAAAGAACACACAGTACTGCACCGTATGCACAACATGTGCTGTTATTTATCAGTACCTTTAAAATACTTCACAGTCTTGACTCGCAGCTCCAGGGTGGCGTCTTCGTCACAAACAAAAACAGTTTGTGGATGCTGCTGGAATGCAGACACCGTCCACATGTGATTCACACCTTCCTCTATGGCTTTGTACAAAGCAAATGATTTGTGTGCTCCTGTGATCAGAATCACGACCTGAGAAGACAGAGAACATGTGACCTGTGTGACTCAGTCATAGCAAATATCAATAATAATAATAAAATCATTTATGGGTGTTTTTCAAAACACTCGAGGACACGTTACAATAAAAAGACAGACAAATACTACAAATTAAACAGGCAAATATTACATTTAAAAAAGGCAAATACTGCAAATAAAACTGGCAATTACTCCAATTAAAACAAGCAAACACTACAAATAAAACAGGCAAATACTAAAGTTAAACTGACAAATACTACAGATAAAACTGGCAATTACTACAGTTAAAACAGACAAATACTACAAATAAAACTGGCAATTACTACAGTTAAAACAGACAAATACTACAAATAAATCTGGCAATTACTACAGTTAAAACAAGCAAACACTACAAATTAAACAGGCAATTACTACAATTAAAACTGAAAAATTCTAGAGTTAAAACTGACAAATACTACAGTTAAAACAGACAAATACTACAGTTAAAACTGAAAAATTCTACAGTTAAAACAGGCAAATACTACAGTTAAAACAGACAAATACTACAGTTAAAACTGAAAAATACTACAGTTAAAACTGACAAATACTACAGTTAAAACAGGCAAATACTACAGTTAAAACTGACAAATACTACAGTTAAAACAGGCAAATTCTACAGATAAAACAGGCAAATACAAATAAAACAGGCAAATACTACAGTAAAAAAGCAAGTATTACAAATTTTACAGGCAAATATTACAGTTAAAACAGAGAAATGCTACAGTTAAAACAGACAAATACTACAGTTAATACAAGAAAATGCTACAGTTAAAACAGACAAATACTACAAATAAAACAGGCAAAACAAGATAAAGTGGTTGAAATTGTGAACAATGTGGAATGTTTTGTAACTAGTCTAACCCAATGTGTTTTGAGCAAGATTTATTAAGTGTATAAAAGATTCAGCAGTTTGGATTGATAGTGGAAGAACATTTTAGAGCAGCATGACTGAAGGCTCTCAGGCCCCTTGTGGAAAAGTTGGCAGGTGGAATGTAAAGCTGAGAAAAAGAAGAATATCAGTGAGTTAAGGATGGAGTGTAAGGCTGAAACATTTTAGAGAGGATCTTTAGAGAAGCAAGAATATGGAGAGCGTTGAATGTGGTGGTGAGGAGCTGAAATTGTATGCGATGCTGGAAGCCTGTGGAGCTATTTGGAGTGATGTGTTTTCATAAGAATCTGATGAATCGGTTGCAATTGATGAATTCATTCATTCAACCTTTATATATACAGGTTAGTGTCATTGAATTATGAGGACTCATTTACAAGAGAGGCCTGATTTAAACACAAAGCATAAATGAGGTACACACAACAAATTGATTTGTGTGGTAGATCAAAGAGAGGAGAGTTACAGTGATCGCTGAGAGAAGAAACAAGGGTGTGGATGAGAGCAGCTTCACTGTTGGTTGTGAACGACACAAAGACAGTTGATAGTGGGTGGATGAAAATGAGCAGAACAAGTACTGGGGGTATGTATCTATCAAAAGAAAGAGCATCATAAAAGATAAGACTCAACAGGAGGTGTGGGGCAGATTGTGGAATTGTCAACAGTGACAGAGAAATGAGAAGATTTAGAGAGGGTGGACTTGAAGCCATCAAAAGTGATTGAGTTTAATTAAATTTTGAGAAAACCATGTTTTGATTTCTTCTAAAAAGTTAAGCAAAGAATAGGGATAAAGTGTGGAAGAGGGTTTACTGGAAAGGTAGAGTTGTTTGTCCTCAATGTAACAGTGAACACAAACGTTGAATTTCCTGAAAACAATACTGAGAGGGAAATTTAAAAAAATAAGGAACCCCAGAATTGAGCCCTGGGGAACACCACAGCTAACTGTGGCTGGTTGAAGCAGAAAACCAGAATTAGCTGCCATCAGCAAGGTCAGTGATGACTCAGACCAGAGTCATTTCTGTGCTAGGGAGTGGGTGAAAGCAAGACTCAATCTTCTAATATTTTAGAGATAAATAGCAAAGTAGAGATGGTTCTGAAATTATTTTGACCACTGTGATTTGCACTAGTATTTTTTTTAAACAATTTGAGTTATCAGTGCAGCTTTGACTGAAGATGTGGCATCAGTTGACATTAAAGAAGAATACATGATTTTAGGTATGAAGAGAAAACTCACAATGAGTGTTTAATGTTCTGTTCTAGACCTTGAAAGCTAATCATTCCTTGCATTGTTGTGTTCCAGTTTATGCAGAAACATGATAAAGCAAATAACAGCACTGACAGGACAGTCATATGGTCTCCTAACCTCTTTTGCATCCATGACCGTGCCCACTCCAACAGTCAGAGCCATGGTGGGCACTTTTGAGAGATCTCCATCGAAGAAGCGAGCGTTGGCCATGATAGTGTCCTTTGCGAGAGTCTTCACTCTGGTTCTGGAGACCAAGCTAGAACCAGGCTCATTAAAGGCAATGTGGCCATCTGGTCCAATACCTGACACATGACATTGAGATGTTTTTTTATTCATTTTTCTTCACTGCACAATCTCTAATACTACTGATTACAGTATTATCAGCACTGCGTTTCTCTGACCTCCGACAAACAGCTGGATCCCTCCAGCAGCTTTTATCTTCTCCTCAAAGGCGTCGCACTCTGCTTGAAGATCGGCGGCGTTTCCATCGAGGATGTGGGTGTTCTCTGCTCGTATGTCTATGTGCCTGAAGAAGTTACTCCACATGAAGGAGTGGTAGCTCTCAGGGTGATTTCTGGGGAGCCCTAAAAACAAGACCAAAGCTTTCAAGTGCTTCTCATTGTGTATTCATTTTATTTGTCGGAACAAAGATCGATAAGAACTCACCTACATACTCATCCATGTTGAACGTCTTCACATACTGGAATGAAAGTTCTCCATTTTTATGGTATTCAATCAGCTTCTTGTAACAACCTAAAGGGGTGCTTCCTGAGAAGAAGCAAACATGAAGAACCAGTTTAAAGTGAAAGAAACACTCGCGCCTGTTTTGCCTCTTCAACAATTTAGTAACTAATGTTTAATTTCAGTTTTTTTTTATCTGTGACTAATATCAAAAATGTGAATTAATTTAAAAAAATGATTAAACAAACATCTGCACGGTTTTGCAGACAGCTCCATCTCTTACCTGTGGGGAGTCCTAATGTGAAATATTTATTGGGTCCAGGTTGAAACTGTAAAATTCTGTTTCTTATGTACTTTGCAGCCCATTCGCTCGCCTGGTCATAGTCATTCAGGATGATCAACTTCATGGTCTTGAAAGAAGAAGAAGAACAGAAATCTGTACAAATCACTTCAGTCTTAAGCCAACAGCTTTAAAAACCAGCTAAATCAGACTTTGGACCCATCAAGATAACTGCATCATGAAGCAACACTCAATAAAACACTGTTTAATCCCTTTATAAAACTAGAATACAAGCTGTAAAAGTAACTGTCACAACTTTGAATCAAAAATGTGCGTTTAGATCCTGGAAACGTAAAAAGACAATAACTATTATTCTCATTTTACCTCAACGAGCAGCTCTCAGTTGTTTCTGACAGTCTGGTTGAGTCATGTGACCAGGAAGCGCGGAGGTGACGTTCAGGGACTGGCTCGGAAAACACCAAGTCGCCGTCAAATGACCGGAAATGGTAATCGGTTCATAAATCATATTTAAACTAATCAGTATTTCACCCAGACTATTTACAAAACATAGTCTGTCAAATATATGCCTAAAAGAAAAAGAGGCTTTTCACCGCTTTATAATTGACGCTAATTTCCAGATACCAGGCAACATAAAAAAATACGATTTCGGTAAACCACAATCTCTTTTAATTTGAGCATTATTTCTGAGTTCTGCAGCTTTCTTCTAGGTTGTGACAGAAGCTTTCCTTGCAGTCAAAGTATAACTTAAAAATGTTGTTTATAAGTGTAGATGTATAACAGAGCACAGTAATGTTGAATTAACATGCAATTGCATGCTAGTTTCCAGCCGTTCGTTTTTTAAATGGTCAACTTTCTGGATCCAATTTCACCATTATGGCATTTTAATGTGGTGTAAGATAAACTGGAAGTTAAAAGAACCATTTTCTACAGAAACAAGCATCTTAGAGCTCCACTTTTGTATTGCAATATCATCTCATGAGCAGAGTTGTTAGTAAAAGCTGAAATATTGGAAAGTTGCTACAGATTAGCAAAATCTGGACACTGACATTTTTATTTGTTCAGCAATGCAGCATTTTTAATTTTCTTCGCATCATGGTGATAATGTGAGAGGTTTTCAATCACTTTATTAAAACCATATTGTGACACAGACCAGAACAGATACAGAGCACACAACAGAAATAAATACCATCATGTGTACAGCGTTCGTTGTCAAACAGAGTATTTGCAGCTGGTTTTAGATTTAAGTCATCCAGAAAGACAGAGGGCATGCTATATTAGGCAGATGTGCCACCATGAGCTGACCTCAGTGAGCTCAACAGTCTGCCTGCTTTTGACTGTCGTGTGCAGTTCCTATAACACTCCTCCAGCTCTGATGTGGAGCCAGGCTGCATCTCAGTCCGACTCCATTAGCTCCTGTTGCTTTGCTTCAGGAAGCGGTTTAATCAAGGTCCATGTCAGGCTTGTTCTCTGTAGATTCTGAGGTTGGATTGCCTGTGCTCTCAGTTGTTCCTTTGTCCACAGGTTCCTCGGGGGACTTCTCCTGTCCGTTGACAGGACCGTTCTGCTCCGCAGCCACCTCCTCCTTGGGGAGCTCCACCTTTGGCTTGGGCTTGGTCACAACAGGGTTGCAGGCAGAGAACAGCTCCTGGGAAGTCAAACAAAACGAGTAAAGAAAAATACTAGTTTTGCCAGTTATTACAGTTATTTTTAGCCAGTACAGGAATCTGCATGTGTGTTAATAAATCTTGTTTGTGGTGATTATACAACTAATATTTTTTTTTTATACAGTAAAAAATATTAACAATAAAAAAAACTTTTATAGTTCCTTGAAAGAACTCATATTACCCACCACCTTTCATGCCAGAATTTTAGACTAAGATCATCCTTTGTTGCAAAAAAAAAAAGAAGCTATTTTGTAGCTCCCAGCTACTCAATTTCTGTAGAATTAACTCCGTTACAGCCATTTTATCATCGTTTGTCAGTGTAGATTAGCTGTGGAGGCAAGTTTGAATTGGGATGACTACAAAAGTGTTGTTGTCACTTCCTCTGGATAGCATTAATCTGGCCTCCAGCTCTAATGTTAAAAACCTCTGTGTTATTTTTGAATCAGGATGTCTTTTAACCCCCACATTAAAAAAAGTTACCATAACTGCTTTCTTAAACCTGCCTAATATCACAAATTAGAAACATCTTGTCCAAAAATTGACTTTTTTTGTCCATGGTAAAACTGGTCCACGCATTTATCCCATCTAGACTGAACGACTGCAATTGTTTATTATCTGGGTGTCCAAAAATTATATTAAATTAAGACTTCAGTTGATCCAAAATGCTGCTGCCAGAGTTCTAATGAGAAATGGAAGAAGAACATTTCTCCAATTTTAGCTTCTCTCTATTGGCTCCCTGATTCAGAACCAACTTCCAGTTTCTGTCAGTAAGGTTGACACATTGTCCACTTAAAACTGGGCTTAAGTCTTTCTTTTTTGATAAATCCTATAGTTAGGGTTGGCGTGGGTTTCCTGAGCTATCCTTTAGGCTTAGACTGCTGGAGGACAAATAGACCACATTTCCTCACTCTGCTGCAGTATTTACTTGCTCTACTCTGTATTTGTAATTATCTTAACGTGTTTTTTGGTCTTTCCCTCAATAGAAAGTACATCTGGACCCGTCATTCTGTGTTTGTATCTACTTCCTGTCCTCTCAAACCCAGCCGGTCGAAGCAGATGGCCACTCGTCCTGAGCCTGGTTCTGCTGGAGGTTTCTGCCTTTTAAAAAGGGAGTTTTTCCTTTCCACTGTTGCCAACGTGCTTGCTCAGGATGGGAGACTGTGATGAAGTGAAGACTCAACGCAGTCTGCTGGCCTCCTTAGATAACTTTTAATATTTGGCTTTTATAACGTATGTGAATGTTTCTGTTCAATGCCCTGAGATGACTTCTGTTGTGACTTGGTGCTATATGAATAAACTGAATTGAATATATTCGTTTCCTATGATTATTTCTGTTGAGCGGTTCATTGGATAATAATGTAACAGACACATGCAAAAACATAATTGTCCACCTTCACCTCTTGTTGGTGTGCAGGTAAAATACTTATTACGATGTAGATATGCAGACTCACCTTTGTTTTTGCTCTTATGTCTTTGACTTTAACCGCTGGATCTGCGGTCAGGCTCTGCTTGCTTTGCTGGTTCATGGCACTGTTCATCCACATCATTGTTTCGGTGGTGAGCTTGTCCACTTTGGTTACATCTGCTTCCTCCAAATGGTCGTACTGCTCATCCTTGAAAACAAAAACGTTTTATATTGTAGAGCAATGTTTGTAGACAATGTGTATACTGACTGAATTTATTGTAATTCCAATGTACAGAGTAAACATTTTTAAATAAAAAGGTTCAGAAAATGGAGAATTAAAACAATTTAGTTTGAACAAGTTTTCAGTCCTACCTTCATTTTGTAGGCTTCAACAAATTTCATGTACTGCTGAATTTGTTTTCCCATCTCATCGAAAGCTTTGGGTCTGTCTTCTGCCTCCATGTACCGCTCCAGGATGGGCTGCCCAAGTTTCTGTAGCGCACAAAGTGTAAAAGCTAGTTTAAGATACAACTTTCTCAACAACAACACAGGAAAAAAATGTTATTAAGGCAATATTTACCTTCAAGTCTGCCAGTTTGTCAATGTAAACCTGTTTCGGTTGGTCCTCTCCCTCTTCATACAGCCAGTTTTCAGTGTCCTCCAGCTTTAGCGACAGAGCATCTCGGTCCTGAAAAAATAAAAACAGCATATTTAAATTCATCGTTATATATCATAACAGTGCTGGCATCTGCTGTTGTGAAAAACACAAGTCCCTGTTGGCCAGTTTACTCACAGATTCACTGACAAACTTCTCCAGCATCCCGTGCAGTTTGTCCCTCATATCGTACACATACTCCTCTACATTATTCTTGGCATCGTTCCTCTCCTTCTCCAGCTTGTCCTGCATGATCATCTTACCCTGCAGAGACAACAAGCACCAACTGAACAAGGCTGCTAACAGGAGGTTGGATGAGTGTGTGACGCTGAAACCACGGGTACCTCGTTTTCTACAAAAAGATTGAGCATGTCGTTTGCTAGCTGCCACTGAGGGCTGTTTTCAATGGGAAGCTCCAGCACTTTTGTCTTGACTTTAGCCTTTTTGGCTTGAGGGGGCTGGTCGGACTTTTTCTCACTCTTGCCCTCCTCCGTGCTCGTCTAAAAATAGGAAAAGAACGAACAATGGAGACATGAAGTGATCAGATTTTTCTGCAATTTAATGAAAAGCACTGTTAAATTTTTTTAAATATAAAACACAGAAGAAAATCAATGTTATTTGCTTTTCCTAAGTCTAGTTATACACTATAATGCACACCCTGATAAATTATATTTACTTAAAAAGGAGCATCTTACTTCCATCTCTTCATTCTCTTGAGGCGTCTTCTCCTCCGTTTCCTTCTGAGCTTCCCCTTGAGCCTCCTGCCCACCCTGATCAGTCTGCATCTTGTTCTGAAAAACAAGTGATGGGGCAACAAATTTAAAATCAAATATAAAAGTCAAAATGTTTAAATATAGTTTGAAGCCGCACGATTGATTAAAACTTTTCATTCACTCATTAAGTTGTTTGCACTTGATCTACACATGAGCAAACCCAGAGAGTTGTAGATTTGTTCACAAGTTCAATATAGTTTCCAAGATCCTAAAAAAAATCTAGTAAAAAACAAAAAGTTAAAAAAGTCTGTGGCAAAAGTTCCCGTACTTCCTCAACACTTATGTCCAACTTAATTACTAAAATCGCAAGTTATTTTCCATGAGTGATTATTTTATTTGGAAAAAAAAGCATTAAAATGTGCAATTATGACAGAATCACCACTTGAGTTTTTATTTTTCCAATAATTAACATATAGTCTTAACAAGTAATGTTTCTGTTCTAATTTTAGACCTGCTCTGTTGTCAAGACAACAGAAACTCACAAACTTTTGATAATGACAAAACAACATCAAGACATTTTTTTGTGCTTCTGAGGTGACAAAACAGCAAAAACTAAATTAAACTGCTGCTGTGCAGCTGTGGTACCTCTCCATCCTTGTCAGAGACTTGTTCAGTTTCCATGGGTTCCTCTCCCTCATCACACTTTTGCACTTCGACCAAAGAGGCGCTGGACACACTGAAGATGCCATGAATGTTCACCCGCACCTTCACTTTCACCTTTGAGCTTTCTCCAGATGTCTGTGGGACAACCTTCTGGATCAGAAACTGACCTGTAGAAAGGGAGAAAAACAACAAACGTTCTGGTGTTCCTAACGTCAGGAAAAATATCTATTTGATCACACATTGACAGCAGAATATGTCTTTTTATACCCGTGTCCTTAAGAAGCTTTAGTATCTTACCAATGATGGGATCAGGATAAGGCAGCTCATTGGGACAAGCGTAGTACGCCTCCAAAGAGAAAGGCTCCCTCCGGTAGAAGGTCAGCACTTTGGAGAAAGGTGCTGCGTGGTTCTTAGGAAATACCTCACAATCACTGTGCAAACAACACAGTTTTATTAAAAAATATACACTTTAAACAGTAGAAATAAACTTGCTTATATATTTTCTTTCCATTTACTTTACCTTAAACCTTCCTCTGCAGCAGAGTGCCACTTCAGAGAGACTGGATACGGAACCACATCTGTGATGGAGAACTCCCGGACTTTGAAGGCAGGGGAAAGTATTGCACACTGAGGGAATAAAAATATTACTTTTTTTTTTTTTTGATGATTCATACCACACAAACAGATGTTTTATACTCGTCGGATTGAAACACGTGATCATCTTGTGAGCTACAAGAGGGGCTGGGTCAGTATAGTACCTGCAAGGCACATCCTCTTGCCACTGCTTCATCAGCATTCAGCGTGGTGCTCAGCTCCTTCCCGAATAATTTGCTGATTCTCTCTTTAACAGCTTGGATTCTGGAGGCGCCGCCTACTATCTCAACTGCATAGATGTCATCCTTTTTCAGTTCTTATCACGAGAGAGGAAAAAAAAAATCAAGGTCATCTCCTGAACTTGGTAAACGGGATAGTGAGAATTTTTATTGAAGTAAACAACACCCTTCTGCAAATTCTACTTACTGGCATGTTCCAACAGGCTAAGAAGAGGAGGCTCAACTCGAGCCAAGAGATCAGCACACATCTCTTCAAAGTGACCCCTGGGGGAAGAAAAATAAAAACATGATTTAAGCTTTGTAGGTGAAACTCAAGACAAGAGTCATCAGTACAAGCAGCAGAGATAAGTTTGACGTTGGTCTACCTGTTCATGTGTCCAGAGACGTCGATGTCATTCATGAAGCACTCGATGTTCAGCGGCAGGTCAGAGGAGTTGGCGCTCATGAGCTTCTTCAGTTTTTCACACTCCTGGTAGAGCCTGACCAGAGCTCTGGGCTTGGACTTGACATCAAGTTTGTACTTCTTGCCAAATTCTTCTACAAAGTATTTGACCAGTACCTCGTCGAAATCTTTACCTCCCAGCTGGGGGTCGCACGCTGTGGCAAGAACCTGAGGTGGGAGAAAGAGGCAATGAGACGAGGACGAAACAAAGGTTATAGATTGGTAATTTGTTGAATGCTGATGGAGTTCCACCTTCAGTTTGCCCTTATTGAAGGCACACACTGATGTCTGATAACCAGAGTGGCCGAGATCCACAAACACCACGTTTCTGGGCTTCTCCTCCGGAGCAGGGAGGTCCTGTTTATAGATCCCATATGCCAAAGCAACTGTAGGGAACAATGATGTATTAATAAAGTAAATTGGACCATTTTAAGTAATCCTTTGTGACTCCTTAATATTAGTCTGAGTTTAGATCTACAATTAGTAACATGTACATAAAAATATCTTGGTACAAACCTGCAGTTGTTTCATTCATCAGCCTCAAGCAGTTGAGTCCAGCAACCTGAGCCGCATCTATCACTGATCTCCTCTCAGCATCCGTGTAGTAGCAGGGAACCTGGTTCCAACAAAACACCATTTACAATCGGAGGATACATATTACTCAGTCATTAAACTATGTAAAAATTAAATGGCTATATTAATTGTCACCAGTTTTATCTTCTCAGATTCAGCATTCCACTACTGGTTTATTCTTTAGGTTTTTTTTTTGTTTGTTTGTTTATTTAACATCAGCTTTTAAAATTCTTAAAATTTTAAAAACCGATGATAATAAAAAAAAAGGTGCAATTTTGAGTCGTCAGGCAATTTTTTTTTTGCCGTGACAGCTTTCATGAAAGCATTGATGTCGCAATCACATGGTAATTTAGAAAATCTTTAGAAAAACTGAACACCCACATTAGATTTTCTACTCACTATATACAGTACTGATTAAAAAAAGCTTTTGTTTTATTTGCATGAAGTTTATAACTTGATTAGAATTTACTGTCAACATAATAAAAGTAAGAGAAGCGTTTTTAAACTTCATGCATCAACTCAAGACAAGTCTTGTCAAGTGAAACAGCTGTACAGCAGGGTGCGTCAGGGTGTGAGTTTTCTAAAGATGACCCACTTACAGACACGACACAGTCAGCTACAGGCTTCTTCAGAGCACTCTCTGCTGTCTCCTTCAGCTTGGTCAGCAGCATCGCAGTGACCTGCTCAATGCTGAACACCTTCTCCTCCTCCATGTACATCACCTTCAGTAACAAACATGAAGATGCAGAACATTGGTCTCAGCTCAACACTAGAAAACTGGACACAGTAATAACTGCTAGATGAAGCATAACTTTCTGACACAAGCTATTGTCAAATAATAAAGTGATTTAATCTCATCAATACAAGTAAAATGACAGGTATCTAAACATACATTACTGTTATGCAACATTATATGTAATTATTTTCAGGCAAAACACTCTTCCAGTCAGCTTTTATAATACAAAACTTTAACTTTCAGTTTTATCAGGGCTTCTTTTGAGTTGGTACCAAAGGTCTAAGTGATGATACGGACATTTTATAACTTCAGTAAACTTCATTTATAGACATGCTGTTTGATGTGCCTTTACTCCTTTTTTAATCTGAAATGCTCGAGTGAAGAACACATTAAACAAATTAAAAATAATAAACCCTCAAAACTGAGAACAAATAAACAAACTTAATAAACACTAGTCCCAGAAATTTATTAACCTCCAGTCCATGTTCTGAACTTTAAGTGCATGTGAGGAGTAGGAAGATGCCTAATTTTTTTAAAGTTTACTAGATGCCCCTTGATCTTCTCACCTTGATGCCTGTTGTTCCTGAAGGCATTTGTGCAATATCATAAACCAGGCTGCTTTTGAGGGACTGCACATAGGGATCTGAAAACGCTCTGCCGTGAAACCTCTTGAACCCTTGGACTGTGTTCTTGCAGTTTGTGACAACCTGTACAGAGACACAGTAGAAGCCAAACTGTGAATTTATGACATGACTTGAATGCTGTTTATGTCCTGTGTTGGTGCTACATGTGTACTGTAACCATGTCCAGTGTTCATTCTTAGTGCAGCACAGAAACTTCCATCCTTTTTCTTAATTTTTTCTTAATGAAAAAGTGCCAAGTGGACTCGGAGCTTCACAGAAAACATACCTGGCTTTTTGCAGCAGCACCGATTGATCGATTTCTGGGTCCAAATGAAACGCATGCTCTGCAGTGAGAAAACACAAAATCAAAACTTTCACTTATGCAGGCACGGTAATTAGGTTTTGTGTTGTTTGATGATTAAAACTGACAAAAACTATTGACATATTTGTAGTTATTGAATTTATACACTTATGAACAAAAGATAAGTTTTGTTCGGCTGCTCCCTTCTTCAGGGGTTGCCACAGCAAGTCAACTCATGAAAAGATTTGACAACGGTTTTACGCTGGATGCCCTTCCTGACAACCTGGACTTGAACCGGCAGCCTCAGGATTACAGGACCGCGGCACTGACCACAAAGCTACTGCAGCCCCCTTAAGCACTTTTGTATAGTAAAATATAAAATTTTAAATTAAACAATTCAAATGCCAACTTTTAAAATAATATTTGAAAAAAGGAGCAAAGATTAATTAATTTAAAGTTTTAAATCTCTGCATATTTTTACAATTCTTCTTCTTCCGGTTTTTCCCTCTTCAGAGGTCGCCACAGCGAGTCATCCTCCTCCACCTCACTCGGTCCTCTGCATCCTCTGTCCTCACTCCAACTACCTTCATGTCCTCTCTTACTACATCCATACATCTCCTCTTTGGCCTTCCTCTGTCTTTTTCCTGGCATATCTTTACAATTAGGTAATGCTAAATATGAATTTGTCAAGTTTTCATTTCTGCTAATGTGACTTGAAACAATTAGTTGTAAGATAGAACTTTATTGATCTCACAGGAAATTGTTGTGCCAGAGTTTCAGTACAAAGGAACACACACAAGGTATAAAAATAAAAGAGGTAGAAAAGTACCAACAATTGAGGTCCAGGAGGTACATAAGGTGTTTTATGGCTTTATTATTTTTTTTTAATCTTCCATTTTGGAGCTACTAAAATATGCAGTGTTACCTCAGATTCTGGACTGTGTATGAAAATCAAGCACAATGGACTGATGGAGCCGTGTTTGACAGCCAGGATGCGACCGGCCTCCATCCATCATGTGTCTCAGTCACCTGACTGCTACGGTGACAGACTCCAAATTACGAAATTTATTTACAAATATCAACAAGCATTAAACTATGTAATGTGTTTTTAAAATTGCTAATTTAAACCGGAATCGTTTAGGGAAAGCTAACGTTAGCTTTAGCACTCACATGCCGTGTTTCCTGTTGTGAAATCTGTTAGCATGCTAACTTGCTAGGTAGCAACCTTAGCTTAATTCAGTTGTGATATATGTTAGCATGCTAACTAGCTAGGTAGCAACCTTAGCTTAGACCAGCATTTTGGATAACGGCAAGATAATTCACTCCAGTTTAGTAAAGGACTAAGTAACATTACATAAATCATACAGGAATAATACGAGTCCTAATACTTACGGTGTACATCGGTCGCTGTATTCATTAGCGACAGTTTCAATGCCTCCGGCTCTTGCTACCGCTACATAGCAGTTCATAAACCCGACGTCAAAACCTACAACCGACATTTTTCACTAGTTGACTCAAGTGTTGGGAGTTATATAAAGAAAGAAAAAACTAAAGTCGAGTGCTAAAATGTACAGCAGTAACTACGGTGGATTCCAGTGAATGGACAGTGAACCACCCTCGCTCTTGTTCCATGAAACTGAGCAGCAGCGTGCAGTGCGGTGCGCCCAGAGAGCTTTCAGGAATTTTCTGTCACTCCGTCGTCGCACTGCAGAGCCTCCGCGGTCCGGCGCCGCCTACAGCTCGGGAATGGTACTACAAGGTTGCGCTTCAGTCTTTTTCTATTTCTTTAAAAGGCACAAAATTAAGTAAGGCAAGTTTTTTTTTTTTTCGGCTGCTCCCTTCTTCAGGGATAAATACAGCGAACTCTCATGAAAGATTTGGTAATTTGTTTTACGATGGATGCTCTTCCTGACACAACCTGGGCTCGAACCCATCTTCTCAGTCAGGACTGTGGCACAGACCACCGAGCTACAAGCCACCAAAACATACAGAAATTAGTAAAATAAATAAAAATAATAATTATTTAATTAATTAATTTAGTTATATAGCAGGAATGTTCAAACACATTAATAAAATGTTGTTCTTGGTTGATGTAGAAGTAGAAGTTTGCATAATCTTTTTGTGCACATGTGGGATCTTCTCTGGTGTCCTTCCACAGACCAAAAACATGTATGTTAGGTTAATAGGTAACTAAATTATCCCTAGATCTAGAAGTGAAAGTGTGAATGACAGTAAATGACAGATGACAGTAAAGTCTACAAAATGTTATTTATGTTGATACTATAAAATAATGGACAGCACGGTGGCACAACTGGTAGAGCTGCTGCCTCTCAGCGAACAGGTCCCTGGTTCAAACCCCGGTCCAGGGGCCTTCTGGGTGGAGTTTGCATGTTCTCTCCGTGCATGCGTGGGTTTTCTCCGGGTGCTCCGGTTTCCTCCCACAGACCAAAAACATGCATGTTAGGCTGATTGGTAACTCTAAATTGTCCCTAGGTGTGAGTGAGAGAGTGAATGGTTGTTTGTGTCGTTTGTCTCTATGTGGCCCTGTGATGGACTTGCGACCCGTCTAGGGTGTACCCCGCCACTCGCACAGTGATTGCTGGACATGGGCACCAGCAACCCCCGTGACCCAAAATGGAATAAACGGGTAAAGATAATGGATGGATGGATGGATTATAAAATAATGAAAAAATATATATACATGTATTTTATTAATCCCAAAGAGAAACTAAATGTTGTTGTAGCTCATCATCCTGGTTTCATTAAGAGTTGTTATAGATGTTTGTGGCTGTGGCAGGAAGGATATCCCACAGCAGTCCATCTTGCAGCAGATCTGAAGAAACTGGCTGCAGATGCCAATCCGTCCACCCAGACCCAGTGGCCTCTCGGTCCTCCTGGCAGCAGGACCACCTGAATGTTGGGCAGAACTCCTCGCTGAGTGATGGCCATTCCTCTCAGCAGCTTGTTGAGCTCCTCATCATTGCAGACAGCCAACTCCAGGTGTCGGGGGATGATTGTGGTCTTCTTGTTGTCATGAGCCACATTTCCTGCCAGCTCCACATCCAAAAGGTAGACGGAGATGTATCCACGGCACCTCCTTTACAACTCATTTGCATTTGAGGTAATATTTGAGCTTTGAGATGTTAATCAGCTGCTCCAGGTTGTAAAAACCATCTTGTTGTCATGGTTACGCTTCATAACAAATGTCCAAAGGTAAAAAGGTTTCAGTAAAAAGCCTTCCAGCTACACCACATCCAAAACCAGAGGAAGTTATCATTAAAAAAAAACTCTTTACATCCAGAAAAAAAGGAAAAAAGTTTTCAAAAGCAATATCCAAAAATGAAAGTAACAGCTACTCCAACATGCAGCCACCTTGAGCAGCACAACTCTAGAACAGAGATTCTAATAGAGCATAGTTCCCTTGACATTCTCTTGACATACCAGCAAACTACAGATAACAACCAAGAAAATATCACACTAGAAAAACTGATTCCATTCATGGCATACATCATAAACTGCTCAGAACAGGCAAAGACTAAAATGGAAAAAATAAAGATTATTGTAAAGGCAGCAGCAAGGTTTTTTAATGTAAAAGATTTGTCTTGGGAAAAAATCCACAATGAACTCACTGGAGAAGGATCGTCTGAGGCTGAGGCTTTTCAAAACATCACATAATTTTAACATTAAGGAGGAATATTGAGTTGCTTGATAATGATGAAGATAATGAGGATGCTATTAATATGAAATTTTCTTTAATAGAACTAAATAAAGCATTGAAGAATTCCAAAAAATCAACTCCGGGCAAAGATCAAATCAATTATTGCATGATGAATAATCTTAGTGATGTGAGTAAGGAAATATTATTAGAATTATATAATAAGGTGTGGGAGGAAGGAAAACTACCAAACAAATGGAAAGAAGCCATTATTGTCCCTATTTGTAAACTTGGGAAGGATTTAAATTTAGCAGAAATTTATAGACCAATTGCTCTAACATCATGTGTAGGTAAAGTTATGGAGAAAATGATAAATCCATCCATCCATTATCTTTACCCGTTTGTTCCATTTTGGGTCACGGGGGTCACTGGTGCCCATGTCCAGCAATCACTGTGCGAGGGGCGGGGTACACCCTGGACGGGTCGCAAGTCCATCGCAGGGCCACATAGAGACAAACAACCATTCACTCTCTCACTCACACCTAGGGACAATTTAGAGTTACCAATCAGCCTAACATGCATGTTTTTGGTCTGTGGGAGGAAACCGGAGTACCCGGAGAAAACCCACGCATGCACGGAGAGAACATGCAAACTCCACCCAGAAAGGCCCCTGGACCGGGGTTTGAACCAGGGACCTGCTCGCTGAGAGGCAGAAAATGATAAATAACAGATTAAATTATTTTTTAGAATCTAAGGAGAAAATAAAGGAATTGCTGCAAAGATCGTCTGGGGATATAAGTTTTAACAGCATTTTTAGGTTTTTGAGAAGAACAGGGAATTTGGAGAGGATTTAGTTGTTGTTGTTTTTTTTTTAGAATCTTGTCCATACTCCAATCCAGAAGGTGGCGGTAATGCACCTTAAGCTGTTTGCCAACCGCCATAAAAAGACAAGAAGAAGAAGAAGACATACCAGCACTGTCAAATCAGCCAATTTATTGAGCTGATTTGGGCTGAAATTAACTGTGAAGTCATGTGCCAGCAAAGTAAAGAGCAAAGAACTGAGCACACATCCCTGAGGACATCCTGTGCTCAGTTTGGCAGGAAGTCCTAAACCCAGTTAAACAGTAAGCCAGCAGGCCATTATAAAAATTGGCCTCGAAGCTGCTAGTCCCAAAATGATTTGTGGGAATTTAATGCTTAAAACTTACATAAGCTACTTTAATACCTTCAATAAGCAGTTAAGTTAGTAGAAGTCTTTGTGGTTGACCCTTACAATTGTGCAAAAGACAGTAAAGCAAAAGTAGCATTAGCCAAGCTCAACACAAGCATCAGAATGTCTTTAACCTCCCAAGACCCAGACTCTTGCGTATGTGGATGCCAGGTTGTCCACATATGTGGATGCCAGGTCCTAGGACGTTTTAAAGAAAAGTAGATTTGTAAATTTTACCAATTCAAAGCAAATGGACAAAATGTTTTTTGTTAACTTTTCTAACTGCAATTAGCGTGGTTGAAAAATAAGAGTTGAGAACATTTTAGGCAAACTTTGAAAATATAAGCATATACTCAAGGAAATATTGCACGTCACACCAGATATACAGTGCATGTTACAAATTACACTCAGCTACTACTACATCAAATTTGAGCTTATCTGTAAAACTGAGTGAATAAGAGAAGTGATCGGAAGGTCGCCGGTTCAACTCCCCGGACCGACAACATCAAAATGTGGGTGGGAAAGGTGAAACATATTTGCCTCCACCTTCATTTGCCCCACTCTTGAGCAAGGCCTTTAACCTCCACCATCTGCTTCCCCAGGCAATCTAGATAGCAGCTCTGTGCTCCACACAGATGGCTGTGGTAGCTCAGTGGTGTCAGTAAGGGCATCTGGCGTAAAATCAAATGTCAAGTCTTCAAGCGACTTAGTTCGTTGTGGCGACCCCCTGAAGAAGGGAGCAGCAGAAAGACGATTAAAAAAGTATTGGCTAATGTTAAAGTTGCTGCCATTTTAAATTGACTCTCAAAAGTCAATCCGTTGTAGAATCTCAGCCAATGATTATTTTCTAAACGTCTCATAAAATAGTAGTTTATGAGATATTTTAGAAAAAGACAATACACTGACACAAGCAAAAACATGCAGAATATTTTCACCGTAGTCTTTCGACAGTGGACAGCGATCATTGCGTGTGACCCTCAAACTCCCATTAATTTTATTTCAACAACTTTGAACTAAATTTGAACTCTGTTTTAGTTTAAGAAAAGAAAATTTCACGACAAGCTGATGTGGTGTGACTTTGTCAGAGGCAGATGACAAACAAAACCTTTTTTTCTCTCCAGATAAAATAAAATCTAATCAAATGGATGACTGCACCATCTGCAGACTGTTTGGCACAAAAATCAAAGCTTAAAGTTTAATTTATTAGAGGTCATCACTGTTGACGTCTGCGATGACAGTTTTAAACTGCACTTGCACAGATGTGACAGAAAATCTCAGCAGGATACATATGCTCCAAATCTGAATGAAATTTTAGGATATTCATGTAATTTTACTTCAGTTAGTGCAAAACCTTGGTCATAAAGATGTATTTTCTGACAAAATATTAAAATGACAATGTTTTCAAGGCATAAAAATATTGAACAAGATCAGTATATTTGACACGGTTTAACATATTGTTAAAATGTACAGAAATATGCAATGATTCGCAGTAATTTTTTTAAAATAAAGTTTCATAGTTCAAATTGTGGTGCGTTACTTTATAAAATACATTTATCCATATAATTTATTTTTGTGAATTATTTGTGTATGCATTAAAAAATATATCTACAGGACAAACGTGATTCATTTTGACATTCATTTACATTTTAAACAGGACATTTTCTCACAACACGTCAAAATATTTACAAAAGGCACATGCACCGTTTTACCCTTTTTATAGTTTAATAGTCGCCACAGTGAACAAACACAAATATTTGGCAATTGATTTGTGCTTGGCACCCTTCCTTATGCAACCACAGACCACCAAGCTACCAACAGTCAGGGGATTTGAACCGACAACCTTGTCTTCAGTCACACATTCTCTAACCACCGCACCACCCCTCCCCCGTAAACATGAAAAAAAAGAGAAACAGAACAAAGAAATGTTCAGTGTTGCAGATGTGGAATTGTGCAAGTGCTTTTTGTTTATGAAATCAAATACAACCAGCTGTAAAAACTTCATTTTATTTATTAACCTTTATTTAACCAGGCAAATCCCATTGAGATCACAGATCTCTTTTGCAAGGGAGGCCTGAAGGCAGCCTAACATGCATGTTTTTGATCTGTGGGAGGAAACCGGAGTACCCGGAGAAAACTCACACAAGCACGAGAAGAACATGCAAACTCCACAGAAAGACCCCAGGTCCAACCAGGGATCGAACCCAGGACCTTCTTGCTGTGAGGCAACAACAGTGCTAACCACTGAACAGTCGTGCTGCCAAATTTAGCAACTTTGTATTGTAACGTTACATTTTAAACTCTTTTGAATTTATGTTGTTACATCTTACCCTAAAATAAGACTGATTTCTTTTTAAATATTGGTCAAGTAGTTTTGACTCTGCAAATATCTTGGCCTGAAAAATAAAACTTGTGATGGTAGTAACGACCAGCATGACCATCAATGAAAATCAAATCAGTGTACTAAGGAGTGTCAGAAAATACAAAAACACTCGTCACCCTGAGCAGTCTCACAAAAGGTAAAACAAGTATTTCCCCTATCTTACCACCAGCTAAAAGATATACTCCTTACCTCAGGACTGGAGTTTTATTTCATTTTCCACTCAGTTTTATGTGCTTTATTTACAAGACTTTATTAGTGACATGTCCTGCTATATTGTGGTTCACTTTTACAGCTTCACTGTATTGCGGGTTTTTAAATCCCCTCTTAATATTGTGAGTATGGTACATGCTGTGCCATACTGTACATTCATCTCATAGCCATCATCTTCATCACTAACGTTAGTGATACGTTTATATGAGTGGGAGAGGTTAGTAGGTTTATAAATCCTTCACACACACACACACCGGACCGTGTTTACACGAACGTAAAAGATGCATACAAAGCTGAACCCCGCCCCCACCTAGGACTGTCAGACCACATCTCAATCTTCCTGGCTCCTGCTTACATGCCCCCGCTGAGACGCTCCAGACCGGTACAAAAGAAAGTTAAATGTTGGAGCCAGGACAGTGGCCCCATATTGAGAGATTGTTTTGACCGAACAGACTGGCAGGTTTTCAGAGAAGCTGCTGAAAATGGAGGTTCGCTTGATCTTGACCAATACACATCCTCAGTACTGGGTTACATTAGTACATGTACTGACACAGTCTCCACTATCAGAAATGTTAAAAGCTACCCAAACAGAAAACCTTGGCTGAATGCAGAGGTGCGTACCCTGCTGGAAGCCAGGAACACTGCCTTCAGGTCTGGAAACTCAGAGGAGCTGAGTAGGACGAGAAAAGAGCTGGTTGCTGGTATTAAGAGGGCCAAGGCCACATATGCAAAGAGGATCGAGGGTCAATTCATCTCACAAGACCCTCGGAGCATGTGGAGGGGCATTAAGTGCATAACAGATTATAAAGGAAGGAGTGAACAATGCCCCAAAGACCCATCTCTGCCTGATGCCCTCAACAAGTTCTATGCACGCTTTGAAGACCCGAACAGACCACACAGCACCAGACTCACCTCGCCACCGGATGAAGAGCATCTCAGCGTGACCTCAGCAGAAGTAAGGAGTACCTTCAGGAGGATTAATCCGCACAAAGCAACTGGCCCAGACAACATCCCCGGAAAAGTGTTGAAGGAATGTGCTGATCAGCTCTGTGAGGTGCTGGCAGACATCTTTAACACCTCACTTACCCTGGAGACAGTTCCCACCTGCCTGAAGACTGCCACCATCATCCCAGTCCCAAAAAGCTCTACAGTGACTGGTCTGAATGACTATCGGCCAGTGGCCCTCACCCCGATAGTCGCTAAATGCTTTGAAAAACTGGTCATGACTCACATCAAAACAACCATCAACATCAACGAGGACCCTCATCAGTACGCATACCGTGAGAACCGATCAACAGAGGATGCAATCTCCTCTGTGGTCCACACTGCGCTCAACCACCTGGAGCAGAAAAACTCTTATGTCCGTATGCTCTTTGTGGACTTCACATCCGCCTTCAACACCATGATCCCCCAAACCCTGATGGACAAACTATCCACACTAGGACTAAGCCCCTCCATCTGCAACTGGGTACTAGACTTTTTAACAAACAGACCACAGTTAGTGAGGATCCACAACCTCTCCTCCTCCACCATAACCCTCAGCACTGGCTCTCCTCAGGGATGTGTGTTGAGCCCCCTTCTGTTTACTCTGCTCACATATGATTGTGCAGCTACCCATCCAGGCTGTCACATTGTAAAGTTTGCAGATGATACAGCGGTGGTGGGATGCATCACAAACAATGATGAGTCCAGCTACAGGCAGGAGGTGGAACACCTGGAGAGCTGGTGCAGAGAGAATAACCTTCACATCAATGTGAAGAAGACAAAGGAGATGATTGTGGACTTCAGAAGGAACAAAAACATCTACACCCCCCTGAACATAAGAGGATCTGCGGTGGAAGTGGTCTCCAGCTACAAGTACTTGGGTGTACACATGAATGACAACCTCAGCTGGAGCAACAACACCACCAG